AAAATATGAAACATTCTTGAAAGAAAATTGAAACAATCGAAAAAGGAAGAAGTATACGGTTAATACCATACCTTTTCAGATTTATTCCATTTTTTTTTTTTCGCCTTGTATAAATTGACCTGAGATGTAGCGTCCTCCTTCCCTTCTTCTTTAAAAGGCGAGAGAAAAAGGTTTCTTTTTTATAATCAGTTGTTTTTTGTAATCAGTCCCATAAAATCCATTCCATTCCTCAAGTTTTCACGGGATCATTTACGGTCAACTTTGGGGATCACTTGCGGTCGAGGATCATTTGCGGTCCATTTTGGGGATCATTTGCGGTCTCGGGATCATTTGCGGTTGGGGATCATTTGCGGTACTGTACAAAACTCCAAGAAGCGGTTTGTTGTCGATTTTTGCAGGGAAGTGTCGAACTTTTAGAAAATGTATCGAGTAAAAGTTGGCTTGGCTCAAAATGAAAACTGCCCGTCGCAAATAACTAAAGATGCTTTCTCGACAACAGAAGGATCGAACAGAGCAGAGCGTTCGAAATAAATTGTTCATCTGTTGTTGGGTTTCGTTTGTAACCTTTTCCTGCTGTGTCACTATTGTTGTCCCTTTTCTGGTATGCATCAACATTGACAGCTTTGGTGTTATAATCTGTTATAATCTCGTCACGGGCAATACGCCGCCAAAATTCTTTTTCCCCTGTTTTCTCGAAATGAAAATCAGAGCAAGTTGAGGGTACGTTTTAAACTCCAAGTCGGCAACCCGTGAACCAATTTGGCTGAAATTTGGCCAACTTACTGTCAGATAGTTTTTCTAAAAAACTGTGTCTGCGAATTTTGATTTCTTTTTTCGTTTTCAAGTAAGAGTATTTTTTTCACAGGTAGTGCTAATGATTTGCTATCCCTAACTTCAACTGCTTATAACAAAAGGACAAAACCACTTCACAAAAATCTGAGACACGGTTTTTTAGTCAAACGTGTTAACAAGCGAATGCGATCTTAATTGGCTTCTTCCGTTTATTTTTGGCTGGCCTGGACTTAAATTTACAGCGACACCCACTTTCACAAAAAGCTTCTCATTTCTGAATCGCGTTAATATTTTGATTTTTTAAAAGGAATAAGCAATAATCTGGAACTATTAAGCTTTCAGAAAATGTACGGTTTATGGGGGTATTTATTAAAAGCAAAAGCGCTAGCGCCGATCAAAGCGGGGAGGATGCTTAAGGGTGGATGATACCTTAAATGTTTAAATGTCCTTAAAATTTGTTTCAGAAATACTTACATATTATGCATAAACATTACTACGGGTTTTTAACATTAATCATACAATGCTTTATTACTTGGGCCATCCTTTTTCATTTAGTATCAATATCTTAATCGGTTTCCTGATTTTGGGTCAGTCGGCCAAATGAAAAAAGAAGTAAAAAAAACTCACAACAACTTTGAGAATAGGAGCATCACTGATGTGAAGCGTGGAAACAACAAGACATGGTCACCAAACTGACACAAAATCAACAAAACAGAAAATATAATGGTCGATGTCATAAGTAAAAAGCAAAACTGGGATGTGCCTGGAAATGCTGTTACAGTGCTCAATTTTCAGATATAATGCGTCATTTTTTTTGGAAATGAATAGAAAATGAGCTGTCTTTTGGATAGTGTTTTTCCTAAATGAAAATCGTAATAATGTGGATTTTTTATCTGATCTTGAATTAAATTTTAAAAAATTTACTGTAAAAGTCTAGTATGGATATTTTTGTCTGTTTTTTAAGTCTTGAGTTCAACTAGCTAGCCCCTCAACCTCTCTTGTGAAATTGAAATTGAAACTTCAACGCACCAACATTAGTCACCTCTGCTTCTCATAAAATCACGGCAAAATGCGGCATTCTCTGTCCAAAGACACGGCTTTTAAACGGAGAAACAGCTCCACGCCATACATTTCTTTGTAGCGACTTGCAATGTTTGCCCCCTGGCGATCCCATAATCCTGTGCGCACAACTAAGTCTCCGATTACTGGAAAATCATTCATTCACGCTCGCGCATTCTAGTCTTATTTTAAACTTTATATCGGAAGGACATCTGTGAGCAGGGAATAAGTCAGCACAGAATTTGATTGTCGGCGAATTTCTGTAATCGTCCATCATTCTGCTAGTGATAAGCTAGCCGTTGTTCACTCGTCTTGCTTGTTTGGGGCTGAGTCTTATTCCGGTCAAAGAGAGAGAGAGAGAGAAAGAGTGTCAGGCAAGGTCTTCAATCAAAGATTTGTGAGCTCGTGTCTGGCAAACTCTCCAAGTGTTTATATATACACTGTTATACGCACCTTATTACTTCATCTGCGCTTAACGAGCGTCTTTTGGTCCATAACTTTCAAAACAACTGCTCCACAGAATGTCACTGATAACACGTAACGCAAAAGAGTATCGAAGCATGACTGCACAATAAATGTCACAAAATCTACCTATGAAGCGGTCCCTTCGGGAAACGTCATCATTACCTACCGATTCCTCTAGGCCCCTGTTCAAGCAAATCGAGATCTGTATGACTGTATATTTCAACTGTAAGTACTTTTCTTAATATACGCGCGAAGGCGAAATCCCTTTCGGGGCAATGACAATTAGAAATGCATTTTTTACAGGATTAATATTGACATCAAAATATCCAAAGAGTATTAAATGAGTATTCATGACCAAGAACAATCCACACAATTTATGCTGTTGGTAAAAACGTAATTTTTGCATATAAAGTTAATTTTGATTTAATGATAACACGATTCTGCAAAACTTATATAAAAACCATAGCGAAATATATCCAAGTACCTCCTATTCTGAATTTTCTGTACAGTTCTTTTTCAACCACATGGGTAATTTATTTAACTGCGAGGATCATTTCTACTTTCATGTCTATATCCATATTTCAAAAAAATTGTCATTTCGTTAGTGTACGGAAATCTGATCTAACCAAATACACCTTGATCACACCAAGACCACGCCATTTTATTGCCTCATTGGGTATGCGCTAGTTCACAAACGATTGCATCCCATCAATCGCATAGGTCAGGATTCGATTCCTGCAAGGATCATTTCCATTTTTTTAACTGTTTCTTACTGTAATGTGTTCCTCGTAGGTGGAAAGTCCACTTGAACATGCGAACGAGGGGGGCGTAAGGGTTTGCGGTATTGCGGTATTGGGTTATTTTTGGTGCGGTGTTGCGGTAATTTTTATTTCAAAGTACGGTATTGCGGTTTTCAGAGCCCAAGCGGAGTGCGGTAAGTTTGAATTTCATGTCGCGGTAGTCGGTGAAATATCCTTGTGTCGCGGTGATCTGCTTCTTTTTCATGACAAGAGGATACAAATCCTAAAAGGTCTCGCTGGCTAGCCTGCGTGACCTGCGTGTCTGCCACGTTTCACAGTCGGTGATCGTATTTCGCAAATAGTCCAGACAAATCGTTTGGCTTGTAATTTCAGTTAATACTTGATATGATTAACGACATTAACTTTTTTATCCAATGATATGTAAACATGTCGCCTTATTTATGACCTCATAGTCGACCTTGTGGAAATAGTTGGCTTGGTTAACCTCCTTACCAACCTCATCGTCACTTTCGTGCCACTCGCGAAACAATGGCGAGCGATCCAGAAGGTCAACTAAGTGAATAGTCAGATATTCCAGCAAATAGTGAGGTCAGTGAAGTCGTTATAAACTGCGTAGTGTCGAAAGATAATCTATGAAGAAGGTGTGGTCTCAAAATTACTACTCGTCCTTCTCGTTGTGCATGCAGGAATATAGAATGTACTAGTATCAGGGGCACCCAACGAGAATATAGTTCAAAACCACTTAAACATAACGTATTTTAACATTTAAACGGTAGATGTAGGCATATTTTTATGCCCTGAAAATTTTTTATCTGTTCGGATTTCCTAGCTGAAAGTCTAGTGATCCGAAAATTATAGGGGTCAAAACTTACCTTTTCGAAAATTTCAGCCAGAAAAAAGGCTCCCGAGAATTCTAGGTGATCTTTTTAGTGTAAAAATCCGTTAAAAATGAGCAATTATACCATTTTTTAGATGTTCGAAAATCCTAGGAGAGGCAGGCAAGCAAGAAATTTTACAACAAATATTCCGAAAATTCTAGATCTCAAATTGTCTTCCGAACAGATATTTTCCAAAAATTGATGCTAGATGCCCCTGTAGTTTTCGTGTGTGCTTAGCCTGCGTAGCATGGTGGTTTTGCGTGGTTTAGTCACGACTGAGGGGCGAAACAGCTCCCGTCCCAGTCTCCTGGCCCGCGCCCCCCTTTTTTGATTCAGCGCGCCCAACCAAAACCGCCGTGCTACGCAGGCTAGTTAGGCTTGGAAAAATTCTGCTCGTAAATTGGCTTATCCTCATGCCGGCAGTGCTCGTAAAAATCGCTTATTCTGCTTCCCATTGTGTTACGAAAGTGAGAATTTTGCCGCTGATTCCTCTTTCCACCAAAGTTGTTAATCCAAACATTTTAGGCTTCCTTTTTTGTACGGACAATAGCCTAACCTGGGCAGTGACAATATTTGCTTCTCCACACAGAAATTTTACAGAAAACAGTCGTTGGGTGGCCTGTCTATGTGATTGTAGGAAGGTTGTATCCAAAGTAAGCTAATGCTGATCATGAAAGTGTTTTTCATATACTTTGCCTGGCTACTCGTGAAGAAACGACACTTGGTTGTTTCAGTGAGATGCGCATTTCAAAGTTGAATTTCTCTTCCTTATTCCTGTTCTAGATCTCTTTGACTTGTTAAATGTGTAATGTGATGATGCTGCTCTTCGTCCCATATGAAGAGGTTTGGAGTGTTTTAATCCGTTACGGTGATCCAATTTTTCTCTTAATTTCCTTCCCGGAGCCTGGTATTAAAGTCAACCTTAGAAGTTTCCCAGGAATTTCCTCAACTGTTTCCCGAAGAGAGCTTGCGTATAATCACCGGCAAACCACAACTTTTTCCGCTACTGTGAAAACGTCAACTCCGCGTTTTCCACATTTAGCTCTCAGGTCAGTCCTCTAATTTCTCTTAGTCCTAAGTTGGTAAAGCTTAGCACTGCAAGGGGAGCGTTATCAGACCGGGGTAGACAGCGGTTCTTTTTCCCATTTTTACATATTTTGCACTTGTTCCTAATCATCCCTCTGAAGGCCTTCACGAACCTGGGAGTACGAAAACTGTATAGTAGAGGGTTAATAGTGGAGTTGAAGTATCCCATCATAAGAAAAATGTCGAAGACTTGATAGGGGATCTTAACATTACAAGCTTTGCAAACAGACGCAGTCATGCTCAATAGCGTATATGGGAGCCAACAGAAAGCAAACGCAAACACAATCATGAAAGTGGTTTTGGCGGCCATTTTGTTTCTCAATGTATCTTTTTGCTGTGATTTGGCTGTCGCAGATCTTCTATCTTGCGCTTGGTTACAATTGATGGGGTTTTGCCCTAAAGGTGATGCGAAATAATGTCCTTGTTCTTTGAATGTGGTTTCCTCTTCCATGTTCTCCAAGTCAGTCGGTCCTATATTTTTTGATAAACATAGGTTACGTTACGAGAGCAGTTAGCATGCATTGCTCTTCGTCCTCTTCTAGATCAAGGGATGGACCATAACCTTCTTTTTTTGGGGGGGGGGGGGGGGGGGTGGTTAGAAATACAAAAATGGATCCAAAGAATATATATCAGTAAAACTGTAAAATTGTTCATAGAAGTTCAAGCTATTTCTTTCAAAAACGGAATTGGCCGTTAACGGGGTATTAAGAGCCCATGACTGTAAATATCGAGAATCGCTGGCCAGGCTAAAAAAATCGAAAATTCTGATTATTTGTCAGAAAAACCCCTTTGGGGAACTATCTTCGAAAAAAATATTTTCAACTTTCAAGAATCTATAGTGTTCGAGAAAATGAGGAAAAACGAAAATAGCGGTTTTTACCTAATTAATTATGCAAAAATTAGAGTAAAAATGGTCTACTTTATCACGTTGGTACCGAGGCAAGATTCAAAGCTATAAAACAGAAATATTTTTGTTTAAAAGCATTTTATCTTTTCTTTCTATCCATGGTATGTTTTAAACCATAAACACGACTTTGAATTTTTTACGGTTTTTTAAAAACTACCACCAAGCGCACTTTTTAAAATGGGTAAAAAATGAGCAACTTCAAAGGCAAAAAACTCACCTTGGTATATGTGATACCTAGCCAAAATGTATACTAGGACAAAGTTCAGCTCTTATATTAACAGAATATGACATAAAAAATCTGGGTACTCCGGATTCGCCTTTACAAAATAAACAGTTTCGTGACCACCAAGGGATCGCTTACAAGAGTTTAAAAACAATGCAAAATCATTAAACCGTCAGCCCCAATTAGTGGTCGCTGGCGCTTGCAGGAGAGATTCCAGCTGGAAGACTTAAACTGGGTGGGTTTTGGTGTTTTGGATAGGTGGTCGCTTAAGGGAGGTAGTCGCACATGGAGGTTCAACTGTACTTCAACAGAGTAAATCCCTTTCACGACGATGCGACTAGGATTTGTCCATGGAAGATAAGACTCCTTGTTCACCTCTTTTGAGCTGCTCTAATCAACTCCCACCCATGTCGAGTGCTTGCTCCCACCCATGTCGAGTGCTTGCAAAACGTAGCACCATCTTGAAAAGAGAAGTATTAGAAAGGTCATCCTTGACGCTCCTGGCATATCGCACTATGCGCAACGAACTTGTATCGACGTAAGTACCATTTACTAACCGGGCAGTAAGGTGACGCAGAGTAAAAGCGTAACTTGACTACAATTTCCAGTTTACAACAGACCCGAGTTTTGTTCAAAGAAATGTCTGCTTTTGCTCAGGAGTATTAACGTCAGTTCCCGTCGCAGCTCGCGCCTTCACACCGGAACGTCCGATCGAATTATTATTTAGTTGATAGCTACTCTTCTCTTCCTCTTCCCAACTTATTTAGGAAGATCAAAGGGCCTCTGCTCGCAGGGCAGTTGATAGCGACTAAGAAGCTAAATAACATAACGAGGCAAGTAAGTGGGATCGGCGGTTTTCTTTACGCCTAACCGTTTCCCAAAGTAAAGAAGGAAATAGCTTCAGACACAAGGGAAAGAAGACCCCAAATCGAGGCCCTATGTGGCGAGTATATTTGTTGTTTTAGGCTGATTCTGTGCTAAAGTCATTACTTACTGCCTTTACCCAGTCAAAAAATGTTCAGTGTAGAGTTACATGTGGGGTATGAAGAAGATATCATTTTATAAGAAAGCACTAACCAAAAATATCTTTTTGGGTGATACATTTAAACTTGAAAAAGATGGCCCATGTTTTTCAATTTTCAGTCCATGTCCATCCTGGCCATCAGTAGCAACAGACCGTGCCTAAATATAGTCTTACATAACAAAACTGGACCATTATTTTTGAATTGAATTGATGTGAAATGAAGACCATATTAGGTTTTTAAAATGAACTAGCAAATAGCTTGGCATAGCCCCTTTAACTCTTTTTTGACGGCCAATTTTAGTGGAAGAAAACCCAGCCTTTTTGGGCCGGTTTTCAGTTAGTAGCCTGGATAACAGGCCTTATTTTTTCGCGTTTTTGCAGGCGAGCAAAGGCAAGCGCGAAGTGAGTGAGAAGTGCCAGACAAGCGCGATGGGGAAGACGCAGAAAAAACAACGGCCTGTCCACATACCATTGTTTTGTTGCATTCCGCCCCAGACCTACCCCTTAATGACGCTCCTCACTCTGTTCGCGCTTGCATTCGCTCCGGCTTCGGGCTTGCCTTCGCTCGCCTGAAAAACGCACGCCTGTTATGCAGGCTAGCAGGAGCCGATTACTGAGGCTAGCCAGTTAGCATGATGTGGGAATGGCTGAAAGAGAGATTTGCAACACAAGACTGCTAAATTGGACGTACACTAATTTAGAAGCTGTTTTGGCGCATTCATAGAAGCCAAAATTGGACGTCTCTTACGAACCTATATCGATCTTTCTCTCCCGCTCTCTTTTTTCCCTTTGCCTTTCTTCTTAAGCACCTTCAAATATAGGTCCCCAAACTTGTAACGCAAAAAACCGTCCGTTAAATCGCCCCTCCATATATAAGCCCCCCGGGGCTTGTACTTGGAAATTACCCTCAAATACAAGGTAAAACAAAGCAAAAACGGTAAATTTCCTTCCAACTGTAAGGTTAGCCCAATCGATTTTGAAACACAAAATTCCCTCCATAGATTAGCCCCTCTGAATATAAGCCCCTCAAAAAGGGCCTTTGAAAAATATAAGCCCCGGGGCTTATTTTCGGAATTTTACGATATTCTTGGTTAAAAAAAAAAAAAAAAACACCAAAACGACCCCAGTGCAGTACTCCCTCCATCTGATTTCTTTTTTCTATTGAGCGTTCAATGAAGGTTTCAGCTAATCAATGGCACAATTACGGGTCGGTCCACTTGGCGATCCTTGACTATCTTTGGGTGTTCGAAATCATGTCTGGAACGCACGAACAGTGAAGAGGCAGACAGAGGAGGTGGAAGAATTTCAGAAAAGAGAGAAAAGGGGGCAATGATTACTTTAATCTTGTCTTTACTTACGTTATTTTTAATAAGCGAGACTTGGCAATTTCACCAAAATATAACTTTGAAAAACTTCTAAGATAATTAACTGTTTCGGATTTTTATTGATTGAAAACTTACGGTCTGATGTATAGTATTAATGGCAAATCCCCTAAAATGCCTTGATGAATGAACTATCGGTACCATAAAAGCATGTGCCCACTCCAAGAAAGATGTATGGCTACGAAACTCATTCAGGTGAATTAAGCAAAGTTAAGTCATCTAACATGAATAATATTTCTTTACACACTTCATAACCTCACATTTTTTTATCGTACCGGTAAAAATAAAGTGTGACTGTGCTGAGTTTGGCAACGGTCACGCAATTGCAGAATACAGTACTCCAACACCCGAACACAATTTGTGAGCAATCTTAATTTTGTAATGTACAATTAAGAAGAGCTAACATACTAATTACAAAACATTTAACATTGGCTATTCTCTTGGTTATGCTATCCTTAAGCCTCAAATATTGCGTGATGCTGACAGTTACGATAGGAATATGCAGATGCATTATGCAAATTTGCCACATTGTGTCACCAACCTTCACAGCTATTTGTTATCAGGGATATCAATTTTTCTGATCCTTTACTTAATTTTAGCTTCATTTAAAGGCGCTTTCATCCTTTCTGCTACGTTTCGAATACACCATGATCCGAAACTAGAAAGAGAAGTCAGGCGGCATCATTTCTCTACAAATTTGACTTATGCAAATTTGTGACCTTTTGCCACTGGTGGTCACGAAACTGTTTATTTTGTAAAGGCGAATCTGGAGTATCCAGATTTTTTATTTCATATTCTGTTAATATAAGAGCTGAACTTTGTCCTAGTATACATTTTGGCTAGGTATCACATATACCAAGGTGAGTTTTTTGCCTTTGAAGTTGCTCATTTTTTACCCATTTTAAAAAGTGCGCTTGGTGGTAGTTTTTAAAAAACCGTAAAAAATTCAAAGTCGTGTTTATGGTTTAAAACATACCATGGATAGAAAGAAAAGATAAAATGCTTTTAAACAAAAATATTTTTGTTCTATAGCTTTGAATCTTGCCTCGGTACCGACGCGATAAAGTAGGCCATTTTTACTCTAATTTTTGCATAATTAATTAGGTAAAAACCGCTATTTTCGTTTTTCCTCATTTTCTCGAACACTATAGATTCTTGAAAGTTGAAAATATTTTTTTCGAAGATAGTTCCCCCAAGGGGTTTTTCTGACAAATAATCAGAATTTTCGATTTTTTTAGCCTGGCCAGCGATTCTCGATATTTACAGTCATGGGCTCTTAAGGTTTCTTTCCCCTCTACAGTTTAAGTTAAGTTGAAAACATCTTGACCTAAGCCCGTCAAGGGAGACAGTATAAAGTAAACTGTCTCTGTCTAAAAAATCTTAAAAGACAGCACGAAAAACTGAGAGTGGCTGAATGAAACAAAGGATGAATCGCGAAAAAATATTCTCCAGGAAACAACGAATGGTTCCGTACGAAACGAAGTCTAGGCATTAAATCAGCTACTTTTTAGCTAATGAACACGCGCAACACTCAGCCAATAAAAAGCAGAAGCAAAACAATTGTTACTCGTTTGTGACTTTTCTTTGCGCGCTTACCGCGCCCCGTCCCCCCCCCCCCCCCCCCACTATGCTTTTAGTTTTAAGATTTTCATTGGAGGGAAATTTGTGAGTTTCGCTGACTGGCCAGAGTGCTTGCACTTATTGGGTTAGTTTGATAAAACAATATTCAATTAAAATTCACTTGCTAGTTTGAGTGCTATCATGTCATGCCAAGAGAGAATACTGGTCATGCTGAATCGACTTAAATCATGGTTTTGGATCCAGTTTTTTCTTGTCTCAGTTTTTTGAAGGAATGAAATTCTGCAAGCCTTGTGACTATTGCAGCTGCTTAGTGGCAAATAACTGACCGATGCAAAATCAGCAAAATGTTCATTTGAATTGAAACTACAAACTTACCTATTTTGTCAGCACCAAATTGTCGTTGTTCAAATCTTACGGTCTTTGGAAACGAAACGCAGGACTTGATGGCGATGCGGTATATTTTGTAGTGAATCAGGCAAGATGACAAGACCGGGATCAGAAAATTTATTATGTTACTCACAAATGAATATATCCAAGAAAATGTGAAATGACAAAATCCATTTTTGACTCTCGTTTGTTCCCCGATAGCTTTCGACGTGATCATGAAGACTGGGGTGAGCGCGAAAAGCATTGAGTAAATCCAAAGGAGAATGATGATGGCCATGACACGTCGCTTGGTTATCAGTGGTGATAGCTTTAGATGATCGAGGGGGTTCTTAAGTTTAATGTATCTGTAAACACTCAAAGCCAAAAGGCTAAGAATAGATGTAGGAACAGTGAGAAGGTATGCAGTGGTGAAAACGTTACACATGATTTCTCCATGCCTCCATTCAGTGCTGTCTGAAACGATGAGTTCCAGATCAAAGGGTATGACCAAACAGGTGGTTAAGAGATCGGAAACTGCGACGGATAATACGAAGCACGCGCCATTGGATTGCCGCAGAGGCTTGGTGCTTAGTATGACCAAACAAACCAAGATGTTTGCCAGTAGAGACACAACAATGATAAGACCCAGAAGGGCTGAGAGCACCATTTTATATTCCATCTTGTGGAACGAAATATTGGGAGTGGCGGTTAAATTACTTTCTCCTGAGTCATTCGTGGTAGCCCTACAAGAAATGAAGAGATGTTAACTCGAGTATTACGCTAGTTAATCGCCAGTTATGGCCAAGAGGGACGCTTTTCGGGTCCTTTTTTTCCAGACTACCGACCGGCAAATTTGAAAAAGCTCGAAGGAGGCCGGAATAAAGTCTTTTCACGGGGATTTAGGGCGTTTTTGGCTCTTGCGATCGACGTACGATCGCGTATCAACTCGTCAGTTTTGTTCTATTTACCTAGTAAGACTATTGAGTTTTCATATAAGGACTAATGGCTTATCGATACAAAATTGTGAGGTTGTTTGTTGGGTTCTCTGTATTGCTAGGATTCGTTACGTTTAATTTCGTCATTGTATTTTCAGAGGCTATGCGAGCACAATTTTTTTAACAGTCTGTTCTATCCCTTGATTTAAAGTGGCCCGAACCTATTTATATGCGCGTTGGTTATGTTTTTGAATCGCGTTTTTGGGCAAAAAGATTTAACCGATTTCTATGAGTTTTGGCATCCTTAATAACAAAATAGTCGAGATGTAAGAAAATCTTATTTATCTTTTTGTAGGTATATAAAAGTTTGAGATATCAGCATATGTTTAAAACCGTATTTTGACAAAAAATGTCAATAACTTCGAAACCCTAAGATAGATTTTTCTCTAACTTCAATCAGCAAATACACCTCAGAGCTCTCTAGTTTTATATCTGCAAGTTTGAAGTCAATCGTGACCGTAGAACTCGCTGCACAAATAGCTGGTCAAATTTGACCTTAAAATGCAACACTGACGTATTTGTGAAAGTTGACGCATAAGTATATGTAGAGGAAAACTTGCGACGGACTATCTCTTTATCCACTTGGGGATAAAGATGAAGAAAATAAGACAATCGTCTTTTCATTATCCCCAATGGCAAACTGCCCGTACGAGTGTGATGCGGCAAATCAAACAAGCTTGAATAAATTAGCTAATACAACGGTTTTTGTTGCAGCTGAAAATGGATCGGTTGAAGTACTGGAGTTGGTGGCTTTATTTCTCCTCAAGACGGGAACCTTCGGTGCTGAAAACTGGTAGGCGATTTCCCTAGATGCTATATCTTGCTTTGTTGAGATTTTTTCGAAAAGAAGAAGGGCAAATACACAGTAACTTCGATAAAGAGATGTTCTTTAATCTTACCCCGCATTCAGCATAAAGTTGTTCTTCTTGTATTGTAAATTGTATCCGCCGTAGGTCTCTGATTACTCAGTTTCTTACAACTGAAGCTTTGGGCAAGAATACTCTTGCAGATAGGAGACAGTCCGTCGGCAGTTTTCCTCTAATTGTTACATTTTAAGGTTAAATTAGACCAACTGTTTGTGCAGCGAGTTCTACGGTCACGATTGACTTCAAACTTGCGGATAAAAAACTAGAGAACTTTGAGACTTATTTGCTGAAATTGGAGAAAAATCTATCTTTTTTAACTAGGGTTTTTATCGACATTTTTTTTTGTAAAAATGCGGTTTTAAACATATGCAGATATCTCAAACCTTTTTATAACTACAATAAGAAAAATAACATTTTCTTAAAGTTCGACTTAAAAACGGCCAGAAATCATAGAAATCGGTTAAATCTTTCCTACCGGAAAATGCGATTAAAAAACATAACCAACGCGCATATAAATAGGTTTAATTCGGGCCAGCTTAACATTGTTGATGTTTTAACTAAAAGTACATACTCAAGGGAATTTCAGCCGTCTGAAATAACAGTGTGCTTACAAATATCAAATAAGCGACGTCCTTACCTTGCTTGGTCTCTTCTATCTGAAAGGGAGAAAAAAAATGTTTCTTTTCTCTCCAGGCCAACAGTATATGAAGAACAGGTGTAGCGGAAGCTATAGTAATTTATAGGCATTGGCACCAACACTTAACACAGTTGCTAATTTTTGTTTCTTTATGTTTGTTTCGAAGCCGTTAATTAGTTGGAATAATCGGTCAATAATAGAGAGATTAATTAAGCTTCACGTATACGGCAAACGGCAAACGTCAGATTCAAGTTGAGAATTTCTCAAAATAGAAAATGAGCTGATAAAAACAGCTCAAAACGATTCTTATGGATAAAAAATTGCGTGAAACTACTAATTTGTGTGTAGAAATAATGAACAGTGCGACAAGTAACGGGGAAACTTGGTCACGTGGTACAAATTGGCGTTTGCCGTTTAACGTAAGTGAAGCTTAACCTCTCTAATAGGTTTAGTTAATAGCTCATCTAACTGCAGCTCCATATTGATAACTTTGAATGCTAGGTTTTTTGATCGGATGAATTACCACTAGCCTCAAGTTTTTAACACTTTAACTGGCTTTCCTGCTGCTTATTTGATTTTACATGCTAATAACCCCTGGGCCGTCGTCATTAATCTCAGGCTTCGAGGACTAGGGGAGAGGTTGCTGGGCCGAAAATTTGGGTAAAAGCAAACCATTACCTTGTTTAGGAAAAAAATTGTCAATTCGTTACCCTGTTTCAGACGAGACCTTCAGTATTTATAACTCTGATATCGTTTGGCATTCAGAATTGAGTAACTTTTAATTAGCATCCTGAAATTAAATTTCTTTTATGAAAATACCGTAAATGATCTAATAAACGCCGGGGGCTTTTATTAAATTTCAAGGGTCCAAGGGGGTTAAAAGGGAGAGGCGTTTATTCTAATAACTGTAACATGGTAACCTAAATACGGTATTATAATAATCTAAATGACAGAGCTTTAGCAGACTATCAAGTCTGACCGCTGATAAGTCTAAACCGTCTACAAATCCATAACGGTATATGGTACATACAAAGTGGCGGAAAAGGGTACCGTACTGGTAGTTCTTATAGCTCAATGTCAACGTCCGAGTCCTCGTCGAGCACCATGGTATTTTGATCGCCGGCCTCCTCTATATATGTCTGAGTTAGTTATTGCTTGAAATGGGATCAAGAACATTAAAGAACACTATCCTCACTTTGAACTGGAAATTGAGCAAGACGCAACTCCCACACCGGTGTTTATTAAGCAAGAACGCAAATAAATTGATTGATTGTATTGTACATCTGTTTCCAGTTTATGTGTGTTTTTCAGGGACGGGGGCCGTTTATTAGACAGGGGGCGTTTGTTGGAGAGGGGCGTTTAATACAAACTTGTCAGCTTAGGGGGGCGTTAATAAGATAAGAGGCGTTCATTAGAGAGGGGGCGTTTATTAGATCATTTACGGTAACGCTTTTGGTAGCACAAATGAAGACTGCGGAACACTAACCTTCACACTGCTGTTAGGATTTCCATGTCCAAAAAGATACTCTTTTCAAGATGCGAAACAGTAAAATTGTTTACCGGCAGTGACATACCAATTCAGACCAAATAAGGGAGTAAGGGGAGCCTCAGAGGGTTGATAGTCACGACAACAACACAACATCGTGACGTAATTGACCAATAATAATGGGTCAATAACCAGAGTCTAATACCATCAACTGACGCAATAAAACACACTTTGACTCTGAAGATGATTACTGTACAGGTTATGCAACCGGTAAAGTTTTTTCAGCCGATGGCTGTCACGTGACCTAATTTGCATAATTCAAAAGCACGAAATTGGCACAAACTAAAAATGTGTGCAGCTGGGAAAGTTTTATGTGTCTAAGTCTAAAGCTCTTAGATATAGACCACCCCCTAACTTTTGCGGACATCAAAGTGAAGCTCATGCCTTAATTTACCTGAGTAGTTGTAAAATAACCATTACAAAACTTAACGAATTGAATAGGCAGATTGGTCACATCCACAGACCCAAAGTGAAAATCAACTTCATGTACCGAAAGTACATGAAGTAAGTAAGTTATGTAGGAAAGTACTGTTCGGTAGCTTTCATTTCAATGGCAACCACAGAATTTAGACCCAAACGTTAGAATCAACTTGTTAAAACTGATAATCAAAGCAACAGTGCCTTAGGAAAGTACTACTCCATAGCTTTCTTAAGAAATGTCAAACATTCAACGTGCAACCATCGAATCGAACCATGAATACACACGCGAGGTTACTAAGCACGAAAGAAGCGTGAGAATTCAACCTTTCTGAGTTCTTAGCAGACCTTCTAAGTGCATTCATAACTCGATAGTTGCACTGAGCTGGATTGTTGACCATTTATTTTGTTAAATAATTAAAAGAGAACAACTGGCTTTTAGTTTTGCTCTCAGTTAAGAGAATGACTTGAGTGTTGTTATCTGCGAGCTATGGCGTGTTCAAATCATTCTTTGTTAAGTCTTTTCTCTTAAAAAATTCACTGGATAGGTAGTTTTCCGTATCATTGTAGATCTAAAAACCGGCTTTTTACGCGGCTTTTTGTACATTGTGCTTTTGTTTCTCCACTAAATAAAATGCTTTACGTTGATGCCCCATTGTCCCCCACTAATTCGCTATAGAAAATGCTCGGTCTTCCCCAAACAAGTCACTAAAATGCTCGACAATGATCATCATATATATTCAGAGGCTTCTTTACTATTTTTCAATGTTTAAGCTAAAAAACGAATAAGTGGTGAAGTAACAGCGTATACAAGATCATGATAATGATTTCACAAATCCTCTTGTTGTTGTTTTTTTAATTTCACTTTAATGAAAAATTTTCTGGGAAAGTTCCAGTAAAATGTTCGAATAATGGTTAATTTTTTTGCCTTACTACAATGCTCGAAAAAACGCTGACATCATATGCAAAAGCCAACTTCCCTGAGTTTATATTCTTCTTTAGAAGAAGAATTTGAGTTTTGCTGGAGCTTGTTCACAGAAGAACACAAAAGTTAACGAAAATCGACCATGGAACAAATTTACATTTGGAACCCTATGACTATCGGATTAATTAGGTTACAGTGATTTACGTCATCGTTAAAGAATCACTGTCGCTCAGGCGCGAAGCGTCCCTAGCGGCAAGAAATGAGGAGAGATGGCTATTTTCACCGGCGTCGCTCGTAACGTCTGCGAAGCAGGATCGAGATCATTGTTGTGGACACCCAACGGACTC